AAGAGACTTTACCTGGTGCAGACATTGCTCTGCCTAACGGAGCTGCCAGAGCGGATTACTCAGTGGGGGCTTGGGAGGCAAAAAAAAGGGAAAAAGCAAAATGGCAGCAGACCACCAACTTCAGGACTGCGCAGGCAGTGCACGGCAGAGAGCCGGGGGCGGAGGGGAGCTACTCAGTGACACCGCTCCCGTTCCGCGGCACGGCTCCTGCCGGCTCGGCAGCACAGGTCCCCAGCCCCCGAGCCACCCCCGGCTGCCGCTGGCCTCACGCCCGGCCGCGCCTCTCCCTCCTGCGGCTGCGGGCAGCCGGAGCGGCCGGAGCGGCCGCGCCTCGCCGCCCGGCATGTGCCGGGGAGCGCTCCCCGCCCCGCGCCGCGGCCCCTGCCCGCTCCCTGCGGCCCGGGCCGGCGGGCGGCGGGCGAGCCCGGCGCTGTGTTTTGCAGGTCGGCGGCGGCGCTGCTGGACAGCTCCGGAGCGCGACGCGGCGCCCATGTTCCGGAGACGGCGCAGATGTGAGTAGCGAGCCGGGGAGAGCCGCCGGGGAGAGCCGCGGCGGAGCCCCTCAGCCGGCGGGCGGGGGAGAGGCCGGGAGCGCTCCCCGCCCCCGGGAAGCCCCGGGTTTCCGCGGCGCGGGCGGGGCGGGCGGGGGGCGAGGGCAGCCCTGAGCGGCGGGGGCGGGATCCCCGCGCGGCGGCCCCGCGCCCCCGCTGACGGCGCGGCCGCCCCGCCCCGCCAGGTGACGTGATGCCCGTTGTTTTGGTGCGCCCCACCAATCGGACGCGGCGGCTGGATTCTACGGGAGCCGGGATGGGCCCGTCGTGGCGGCAGCAGGACGCTCCCCTGCCGACCGTCACGCATTGCGCAGGGTGCACCACCGCCCGGTCCTCCTGCGGCTTTAACGGCCCCGGCATGGACCCGCCGCGCCACTTCCCGGCGGGCTTCGGCCCCGAGCAGCAGCACCAGCAGCACCAGCAGCACCAGCAGCAGCAGCAGCAGCAGCAGCAGCAGCAGCAGCAGCAGCAGCAGCGCCCGCCGGCGCCGCCGCCGCACTGCCAGCAGCACGGCCAGGACAAGCAGAGCCTCCTCCACCAGCAGCAGCAGCAGCAGCAGCAGCAGCAGCAGAGCCCGTGCCTCCAGTGCAACAACTGCGCCTACTACGGGGCTGGTGCGGCAGCCGCGGGGGATAACCTGCCCCTGCTGCTCCGCGCCTCCTCGCCGCTTTCGGGCGCCTTTCGGACGCACTCCTCGCCGCTGTCTTCCGCCGCCTCCTCCCGGCACGGCAGCCAGCTGAACGTCAGCGAGTTCACCCCGTCCAGCCATGCTGGCGCGTCCAGACAGCCTCACCAATATTCCCAGTACCACCAGTGCCATAGCCTGCAGCAGCAGCAGGCAGCCAGCCCCAGCAGCAGTGTCAGCAGCAGCAGCACTCACCATCATCATCACCATCACCATCACCACCACCATCACCAGCAGCAGCAGCGCCGAGAGAGCAACCCCTTCACCGAAATAGCCATGAGCAGCTGCAGGTACAACGGCGGCGTCATGCGGCCGCTCAGCAACCTGAGCTCGTCCCGCAGGAACCTGCACGATCTGGACTCCGAGTCGCAGCCGCTCCAGGCGCCGCTCGCCAGCCCCGCCGCCGCCGGCTCTGCCCCCGCCGCCGGCAGCCCCGCCGCCCCGGAGATCGTGGTCTCCAAGCCCGAACACAACAACTCCAACAACCTGGCGCTGTACAGCTCCGCCGGCCCCGGCCCCGGCACGGCAAGCTCCAACAACGGCGGGGGCAAGTCCAGCAAGAAGAAGAACCAGAACATCGGCTACAAGCTGGGACACCGACGGGCTCTCTTCGAGAAGCGCAAGCGCCTCAGCGACTACGCGCTCATCTTCGGCATGTTCGGCATCGTCGTCATGGTCATCGAGACCGAACTCTCCTGGGGCGCCTACACCAAGGTACCAGCTCGGGCAGCAGCCGGTCCCGCCGCCCGCGGCCCCCACCCCGTCCCCGTCCCGTGGCGTCCCCGCTGTCCGCTGGCGCGGTGCCTCCCCGGGCCGGGGTGGCGGTGGGGAGGAGCGGCCCCCGCGCACGGGTTCTCTGAGGAACGGCGGTGTCTTTCTCTTGCAGGAGTCTCTGTATTCCCTCGCTCTGAAATGCCTTATTAGCCTCTCCACGATTATCCTGCTCGGGCTCATCATCGTGTACCACGCAAGAGAAATCCAGGTAATATTTCCTTCTGTGGGTCAGGGAGCATTGCTGGCTTAGATGTGGGGTGCGAGGCAGTTTGTGCAGGGTAGATGTGATGGTAAGTACTGGACACGTCCTGCCGCTTCAGAAAGCAAACGTGGTCTCTGCAAGCCTGCCCAAGTTGGTGAATGGACCTCAGCCCTGGAGACGGGCACCAAACGACGGGCAGGGAGCAGCCAGGAAGCTTTGCCTGCTAGACAATTCTGCCTGCCAGGGAATGTTGCCTGCAGTTCTGCTAGAGGATTGCCTAGCCTTGAGGTTATAACCTGCTTTCTAGGTGATGTGCCTGTTGGCTCCTGTAGCAGATGTACAGCAATAGTCTTTTCTTTTTCAACAACTAAATTTAATGCTGTGCATTTTCTCTTGACGGCAAGGTTAATGGTCTTCACTGTGAAAGGTATGTAATCCTCAGTGAGGTGTCTGAAATAGGAGCATACTCTAGGAGAGTTGTTTAAAAGAAGGAGGGAGATTGATGTTTGGCTTTTTTTATTTAATGATGTAGTGTCTAGGAATGTGACCAGAGAAAAGTGTTAGGAAGGATAGGACCAAAGGTAAGAAAAACATAATGGTCAAAGCTATAGAATAAATCTCACAGCTACCATTGCGGCTTTTCTCCAGGTGACTTAGTCCTAATTTCAGCTGCGATTTTTTTGACCAAGAAATTAAAATGTAGCATTTCAGCTCAACCAGACTGTACAACAGACAGAATTCAAAGTTTTGAAGGGGAAAAAACCTTACTCAAAGATCTGGTGCTTTTGCTTTTTCGGATTGGAGACTCCTTGAGCTGAAGACTGAAATGTCAAGTTTCAAGGGCAATGAAGATTTTCCACCTGCCAGTCAGTTAAGTAGAAAATAAAAAGTTAAGCATTGTGTGGTACAATTTTTCTTCTGTGCAAATGAATGCATGTAGTTTCAATATGAAATGGTACCTAGTCTCCTACTTAGTGTTTGAAAAGTATTACATCACTGAAGACTTCTTGCCAAATTTAATCCTGTAGTACAGTCTTTGCACATACAAAACTTCTTTTCCTGGCTCAGAACACAGTTTTTCTGCATGAATGTCAAAGATATTGAAAGCTCTTTAATGATATTGTATTGAATAAACAAGTGTTCTGGAGAGAGAGCAAATTTATAAACTACAGGAAAACTGATGAACATGTTTCTTTTTCAGTATAAAAATAAATAAGTAGCACTTCTGCAGTGTGAGAGTCTTATCTGGTGTATCTTCCCACAAATGTTTCTTCAGGCATGAGCAGCAAAGCTTAAAACAAGCCCTCTCTAAATGTTTAAAATATTCTATGCATTTTTCAGAAACTTTTAAGAATTTTATGGAAAACAAATAATTGAATGAAATAGTTGAATGAAAATGAAATAGTTGTAAGTCTGTGCAGGTACCCCAGCTTATACTGAGTACTTACTGCAAGATTCAATTGTTTGTTGGGTTTTTTCAGGTAAAGATTTAAAAGTTTTTATTGTCTTAGGAATCGGATCCCTTATGCATCAGAAAGGAAATATTTTTTTAAAATTGTCATTCCATTTTGGTTGTTTTTAAACTGATTGTTTTAAGGAACTTTCTCATATATGCAACTCCATGGCAGGAGTTGTGCCATCGTATGGTTTAATCCCAGTTAATGTAGTTTTCGGTGCTGCTGGACAGAGCACAAGTATACCTGTCTGTAAAACAACAATACCCATGTTTCAGAATGAGAAACAACAGAAACTCAGTAGTCATGACAGTGCCTGGAGGAGCTGCAGCTTCAAGGGGTTCTGTCATTCACATCACAAATGAAAAGAAGTTCTCTGTTCAAGTTTATTAGAAGGAAAGGATGTAGTACCTTCCATAGCTACTAGTTATATGCTCACTTTTGAATTTGAGCATAGTATGTTTTTCTGCACACACTTGACTTCTAAAAAATATGATGATAGGAGTGCAGGGCAAAGCCTATGTCAATTTATAGTAATAAAATTTGTGTTGCACTAGACACCTGGAGAAAAAAGGTATCTTTAAAATCCCTTGGCTAAGTACATAATATACATAATGCTCTCCAGTCAAAAGAAGATACTGTGTAACCCTGATAATGTATTGTTTTTAAATAACCTTTAAAGCAGACTGTTTTCTAAAGGCAGACATGTCATTAATTCAAGCAAACGTTCTGCCCTGTGCAGAAGAATGAATAAGGTCTGTAGAACAGAGCCCACAGATGGTTGGTTGTGTCCCAGAGGACTTTTTGCACCAGCTATTTGTCCGTCCAGTTCCCGTTGAAATGTTCTTTTCTGATTATTATCTGAAACATACTTAAATATTTGTCTTAATGTAAATAAGCAGGAATTCATTGTGAGAGGAACATTTGTTTAATAGAACAGAAGAAGGTGGCTGTATTCAGCTTGTGGCTGTGGTGTCTTTCACACTCTGGTGAGAGCAAACCAACCTAAGCATAAGTAGATTTTTCTACAAAGCATGAGGCAAAAAAAAAAAAAAAATGTTGGGAGATAAAGAGCTGACAGTTTAGTAATTATTACTGAGTGCAGGATGAATACTAAGAAACTCCTGGTGACCTAGAATGCTGGCAAGTGGAATTCAGCTTTTTCATTATTTTCAGTAGCCTTTGACCTTGATTTATTGGTAGGAAGATGAAACAGCATTCTAGCATTCAAGAATGTCCACGGGACAGGGTCTAGCAGCACAGCAGGTAGCTGTAGTTTTCTCTTGAAGTGACATTGCTTGTATGCTTTGTTTTGGAAAGTCAGCCAGTTAAACCAGTCTCTAGAGTTTGCCTGCCCCAGACTTACTGCTTATTTTAAGGGCGGGACGTTTGTAAAGGTTCTTCCCAAGCCGAGAAGTGATACAGCAGCGTCAGACAGCTGAGTTTTCGTCTTTTCCCGTGGTCAGAGCGCGGCGGATGTGCGGTGGGCGGCTGGAGCGCTGCGGGCGCTGCCGGGGCGGTGTCGCAGCCGCCGGTTCAGCACCGCAGACAGCTCCCGCGGAGCGCCCGGCTCGGCGAGCGGGCCGGGTACCCGGCGGAACCGGCACACAGCTCCGCATCCGGCAAAGGCTCCAGAAGGGCGCTAACGGCAGTGCTTAGACAAGGCTAAGTGTAGGGATGCTGTGTAGTCTTTATGAAATACTGGAACTGTTTAAACGTTTTCCACAAATATGTTGTCAGTGATGGCACTGTATTAGCCAAACTCCAGGAGTAAAAATGTGAGCTGTTACGAATTTTAATAAATGTGAGTTAATGTTAAGAATACAATGAAAGTCAGTTGGTAACAGTTGGGTTCAAATGTTAATTCATAGCTTACTTTATAATTTCTCTAAAAGAGGATAAAAAGTTGTGAGCAAGTTTGCTTCACATCCTTCCCCCTTCTAGAAAAAAACCCTAATAAACAAAAGTTACAGAGTTGGAGTTGAGGCTCATAATAACTCCAAAATGTGTGTTCACTTTTGTTTGTCATGCCTGTAGTACTGTTAAAAACATTACAGTTGGGAGATAATGAAATATGGATTGCTCTCTCTCCAGGTCTATGTGGTTGTTGATTCAGTTCTTCAGAACAAGTGCTTTGTGTTCGAAAGATCAGTGGGGAAAATGTAGTTCATCACTATCCCAGCCTAGAACAGGTATTTCTCTGACTGTTACTCTGGTTGAGAGTCTGAAGAAGTGAACAGGGAAGAGCTAAAAACACAGCATTACTCAATTATCATAATAATTTTTGATGTGCTAATTATCCCCTTCATGCATAAACAGTTTGTTACTTAATACTATTTTACATAATTAAAGCAGAGGCAATATGTAACATAATTAAAATTATATTCTTTAGAACTTACTGTTCCAGTCCACATTTCTCTACTGGAATTCGATCCATAAATATAATAGAATTTAAGAAAATTTTGAATCCTGTTTACTTGGTAAAGCTGCAGTTTTTCTAATTTTATTTGATAGTGGATCTCTCTGCCTATCTCTAGTATGGTTAAAGATTGAAATGCTTTTTAACTATGCACCCCTGAACCAGTATTGATACTTTCTTGTATTGCTAAGAGCAAAAGGATTAAATAAAAGTCTCTGAGATTGCCATTCAGAGGTCTTTAATGTCTTTTGTTGGGCATTCTACCACAGCTGAGTATTTCTTGAGAGATGGTGGTCAGCAGAAGAATATATCCACTGGAACTCTTCTTTAATGCTGGACTGCTTAGGGTACCTTCTCTGTAAATAAACATACTGCCTGTCCTGAATAATAGTAACCTGAGCATTGCTAACCTGTGCTGTCTCAGACAGCATCTGGGCTTCTTTTTCTTTTCCCTGGTACAGATGCTGTCACTCATGTAGAAACATAAAATTTGTTGGTATTTGTTAAAGCAAAGAGAAATCTTTTGTGCGTGTTTGTGTATCAGCTGAGGTTTCTAACAATTTTTAAAATGTATTGCTAGTTCATACTTTGATAGAACACCAGTGGAAAGGTTTGCAAACTCCAAGGTTAAAGTTAAGTTATTGCTTGCATAGCAGAGCCTCAGAAGGTTGCAGGGGAAAAGCAACGTCAGTCCCGATGGTCTGAAGTGGTGGGAAAATAACATGCTACTGATAGATTTGGAGTGGAACATTTTCAGTTGTCATTACCTTTCTATAAAATTACTACAGCTGAGAGACCAAATGTCTTGCTGAACAATCAAGAATCTTCTTTTCCTTGTGTCTGAAAACTTGAAAAACTGGAACAAGCAATATCAGGTAACAGAAAAGAACAGTAATAAATACATAATACCTGTTTATTATGCAAATACATCCCATAATACATGATGATAATAAACACAGTTTATGGGAGTTTCATTATCTTACCGGAATCAGTGGAAAGTTTTGTGGTAAAAATTGTGCACTTGTGAACAGTTAAGCTCCCTTACAGTTTCTTGTCATAAAAAGTAATGCTTATTCTACAGACCAACTTATTTTTTTTTAATTTATCTGTTATTTATTTATTTCTATCCATAT